GACGTACTCTATTGCTTTCAATTAAACTTAAGCATAAGTAACTTTACTTATATTGCACCTACTACATTTTGCCTTATAGAATTAGAATTAAGGAGAATGGTAGGGTGGCCAAATCCATACATTTCTTTGTTTATGCTCTAGAAAGATGCCTCTTTCTCTCAAAATGTGACTTTCAGTTTCAAGCTATGTAGAGGCACTGTTATTCCATGAACCTCAAAACCTAGAAGGTTTTTTTTTTAATCAATAACCAAAATTCACCCTGAATATAAAGAACAAGGCCACGATGCTCTGATGAAAGGAAGGCTCAAGAGAATAGCATTCATTAGAGGTATTTCTGTCACTGGGGAAACAAACATTCTACTCAATGCAAGATAATGTTTGCCTCTGTACATCAACCATTGGGGTAAAACTGTCTTTTTAGATCAACTGGACCAACATCCATCTAATATTTACAAAAATAGGCTTCAGCAGATTTGAAAGTGATGTCTCGTACTCATCTCACAGAATGATCTGTCACTGTGCAAGTCTGTACTTTTTGCAGAGCACCATCTTAAGAGCTCATTAAATCTGCTTACGTAGCACCTGACCCAAAGCCTATTTGGAACAGACTCAGGAAACCGGAGAGGAAGGCATTGCAGTTGCTGAAAACTGCTGCCAACATGTTCTGATAGGGTGCTATTATTAAGGGAACAGATATCATGGCATTTTCACTACCTCAAATTATAAATAATATTTAAAGGTTTTACAAGTATTATTTATCACTGAGGTTCAACAATCAACTTATACAAAGTATCTTTATATTGATCATTAGCTGAAATATATGAAATATTCCTTAGCTGTCCAGTCTCCCCTGGACTTGCCACATAATAACTTTAAAACAGCAATGGCTGCTTGGTCCTTCTTTCTGTGACTGCAAAGAGTAAGCAATTGAGTCAGGGACTGCAATTTGACTTTTGATAATCATCTACAGTTACAATATTATCCAAAGGATATCACAACCATGTTTTATGCACACATCATGCTACAAGAAGCAATGGGATCAATGCATGAAAAAGAGTGATCTTATAGTCATAACATAATTTCCTAGGTTAATTAATATATTACCATATAAATATAGATTATCTAATATAATATAATATAATATAATATAATATAATATAATATAATATAATATAATATAATTCTCTTTAAGACATTTGGCCTCTTTAGTTACATGCTGCTTTTACAAAAATAAAGATGTAAGACTATTCTAAATGAGTACATTAATTTGAAAAAGAATTGTTCATTATTGAATACAATGGAGAATTTGTGGGCTAGTATGGCAGTAAAGGCACTGTTTTATTTCTACATAACAAGAGTGATTTAAAGTACCGAGTATTATATGCGTTTGTCTTAAATCAGATGAGACAACACAGCTATTTAAAAACTATTTTCTTGTTATGCCATTATCTGCTGTTTAATTTCAGCAGAGGTGAAAATGTCCTTTATGTCTCAGTCTAATTTGTCTTCTAGGACATATATTTTTTTAAAAATCTATTTGAAGTAAACATTTATTTGAATGGGGCATATAGAAAAGTTGGAGATTTTTTTTTTAAAAAAATGAATGCATAACTAGCCTACTTAATACTTTGGGTGCACTGTGTCTAAATGGACGGGCCGTAGGTTGCCGACCCCTGCTCTAAACATATTAAACCTCTATGTCTATCTAAGAAGGATTAGAAAAAGATGCCCTCAAGTCCCCTAGCGTTCAAGCAATTGTTACATATACCAGGCTCAATGCAAATTAAAGTTGCAGAGAAGTCCAGCACCAAATCATTCACCAAAGTGATCAGAGCCTTTCTGTGTTCCATAATCACATCTGATGCCAGATTTAAGATGTATCTAAATAATCTACCTCATTGGAGCAATGATGCCACCACATGTGTAAGTGGTTTGCCCATAAGTGGAGTATTAAAGACCAGCCTGAAAGTTTCACTACACTGGCCTGTGGGGATTTGTTGTTTTTGTCATAGTTGCTTCCCAAGTGGTCTCACCATCAGAACATCCTCTTCTAGGCATGACATAAAGAAGCCATGCCCAAGCAACACATCAACTTTGGCTGTGTCTGC